TTGACATTATCACAAAGCATTGCTAAAATATAAACTGTAAAAGTTCTTTTAATAAAGCAGGTCCTACTCCTACTTCCCATATATTATAAAAAATGAAAGACCACATAAAGCTTCAGCATTTACTAAAAATAACTTCTAAGATTTAACATAGAATATGAAAGCTTTTCCTTTGCCAAAAAATACTAAACTTCTTGTCTTCTGGAATCCATGGCTAGTCCACTTTCTTATCTTCACGCCTCCTAGCACTCTACCCTGTAACACATATCATCTTCATAGAATGTTTGCTCAATGAATAAACTATATACAAACACACGAAAGAAGCTACCAAGAACTTTAACAGCCCAGCAATTTTTAAATGATTTCTCTGAAACTGTGGGCACCCAAGCTAAACATTCTATTCTGACTTGAGTAATTATGAATTGTGAATTAAGATTTTATTGATGAAATTATTGAGAGTTGTGAGGTTCTGAAGAGATCAAAAAACTATAAGAATCACTGCTACTCTTTCAGAACTCCTTTAGAACTGTTTTCAGAATCAATTAAGATTAACAAAAATGTCTATTTTTAACTAAAACGGCATTGTTCAACATCACAGCGCATACTTTATTCACCAGATTTGGCTTCAAATGACCTGCGACCATTTCTAACACTAAATGTACTCTCAAGGAAGAGTTGCCATCAATGAGGACACTGAAAATAATTTACCAACATCTCCAAAAGAAATAAACCAAAAACAATAATCAAAAGATTGCTGAAAAAAGACGTAGTCTACAAAAATTACTTACTTGAAAAGAACACATTCATGGAATGTATGCATTCAAGTCATATTTCTTTTAAAAACCATGGTGCCCACAGGGAAGTTTATTTGCTTCCCATGATACTGATTTAATTATAATATGCATCCACGTACCCATGATACAATTAATTGTTCTGAGTTTTAGGGACTAACATCATTTCTCCTCAATAGGTTTCATTATTTGAAACAGAAGCAAGCAGGAGTTATTTTAAAATAGTTTATTTAAAAGACATGAAGAACCTTTTTCCTCACAATAAAAAGGGTTTGAAAAGAGGCAATGAACAATTAACTGCTCTAAGCCTTTATGAAGTTTTATTATGGAATAATTATATCCTGGATTCACATAGTTAAAAGTAGCAATTTCAAATATATGCCCACATAATCTTTCTTCCCCAAGTAGTAAAAGTATCTATAACTGGTAATTGAGATAGTTTTAATTTCTCTGCATATTATTTTTAATAATCTCTACATATTATACATAATCTATATTTTATATCAATTATACATTTAATTTTAGGTCTATATTTGATTAATAAAAATAAATAATAATTGTTATAAACCCCCATTATTCCATAATAATGGAAGAAACTACTGGCGTAGGCAATCCAGAAATTATTCATATCATATATCTAATCTAAATGTAAGATCTAGAGATTTCCTTACATGTCTTACAAAAGCTAACATCATTTATATTTCCTGGGCCTACAGCACCTAGACTAGTGGTCCTATATTCTGCTGCATGCAAGCTAGACTAATTAAAAACTGACTATGAATTTCTAAAGTGGGGACAATCAACAGTAGATAAAATTAATGCAAATATATATAAGTAATACAAGTATATAAAAGTAATACACTACATTAGCAAAAAATTTTTCATATTCAAATGATTGCTTCCTTAATTCTCCCTTTTTAACTATTCTCAAATAAGAAACCAAAATTAGGTGTGCATAACAAAGCTTAATATTCTTGCATAAAAATATCAGGACTGTTACTTTATACAGAAGAATACTGTCATAAGGCCAAACACAAACTGCTAATGGACTAAAATTTAAAATGTATTAGATATTCAATATCAGGTAGAAAAAGTCAACATCTGATTTTTTTTGACGTTTTAGGACATTATCTTAAAGGCTATTTTTTTTTTTTTTTTTTTTTTTTGGTGGGGTGCCCAAGGCCAGGGCCAGGCCCATGGTCCCAGACTATTTTTTTAAGGCCATCTTAGCCAGGCATGGTGGTTATGTACCAGTAATAAGATATACTGACATCATAACCCCTGACATGACACATTCAAAAGGACAGAAAAACACTCTGTGCTCTTTCTGCCAAAAATATATAACCTCATTCTAATCATGAGAAAACAGACAGACCCAAGCTGAGGGACATTCTACAAAATAACAAATCATTTTCTTCAGAAGTGTCAAGGTATTGTTGTCTTCAGAAGAAATAATGTTTTCTTTACAAATGGCAAGGTCACAGAAGACAAGAAAAACTGAGGAACTATCACAGATTGGGGAAGACTAAGGGGACATTACAACTAAATGTAAGTTAGGATTCTAGATTGGATGCTGGAACAGAAAAAGTTAATGGGAAAACTGGTAAAATTAAAGTAACATCTATAGTTTAGATAACAGTACTGCACTTATGTTCATTTCCTGGTTTATTAACTAAAATTATGTAAGATATTAATATTGGGGAAACTGAGTGAAGGGTAGACATGAACTCTGTTAATTCTGTTTTCAGAAAGTCTCAACTTAAAAAAGGTTTTTTAAAGTTTTAAAAAATGATATCCATAGTTATCTAGGCAATTATAATAGTTGTTTTGCTTTAAAATCATTAAGTTATGCTAAAATATCCTTTAATCTCTGAAGCTAGAATACATATCTCCAAAAAATTTAACTCTCAAAAATTTTAATCAATAAAATACATTACAAATCTCATTACCTGTAATTTTATAGCCATAAGCAGCTAGCTGTCCAGCCATATATTCTCCATCTGAATTATTATGAGAACAACCCCATGTTCGTATCCAGATTTTCTGTATGCCTGGAATTGTGCTGTTAAACAATCAATGTTTTAAAAAGTAAGTCTCATTGATTTTTAGAATAAAAACACTAGATGATTTCAGGGCATATCACAGACAACACACACACACACACACACACACACACACACACACACACAAACTCACTGCAATCAACTGACAAGCTATCCATTAAATACACCAACTTAATTCAAAATCTGTTGTTACATCAAAACTCTAAAAATCAAGATAAAATAACCACAGAATTTTAAGAAGACTCTCTATATAAAAAAAAACCTTTTTCTCTAAATTATATTTTAAATTCATACTACTAACTTACTAAGTTCAACTCCTAGAAAGGTATTACAAATAAAAATAGCCAAGAAAATGGTTCTAGCAGCAATAGCGAATAAAGAAAAATTACGTATATTTGTTCACAGACTCCTATATACTAGTTGCAATCTTTACTTTAAAACTTAGATATATAATAAATAACAACCAAATTAAAAACTGTCACCCTAAAGCATTATTGAAAGTACTCTATCTATAAAAATCAAGTTCTAAAAAAATGTAACATTTTTAGGAAGAAAAAAACAAACTTTCAACTTGGATTGCTCTAATAATGTATAAGTAAATGGAATTTACCTTAAGGACATGTTCAGGACAAATTTGATAAACATCAGTCATTAAACTATAAGCAAATTTAAATTCAGAGATTGTAAAGGCTTAATATTCCAAACAAAATAAGTATATTAGAACTTTTCAACAATTTACTAGACAAACAAATACAGGCTTATTAAAACTATACAACTACATAATCCTTTCTAGTTAGATTGTATTAGAATTTCACTGACTAGAGACCTGATAAAATAGCATAAGCAGGGCAATAATTTCTTTGTGCCCAATGTCTTTAGTTGATCCATAGGTATTTATAAATTTGCTAAGAAAAAATCAAATGTCCAAAACAATGTCTCATAAGAATCACAAATTCTAGCCAGGCGTGGTGGCTCACATCTGTAATCCCAGCACTTTTGGAGGCTGAGGTAGGAGGATCACTTGAGGCCCAGGAGCTCGAGACCAGCCTGGGCAACATAGTGAGACCCTGTCTCTACAAAAAATTTAAAAAGTTAGCCAGGCATGGTGGCACACATCTGTAGTCCTAGCTACTCAGGAGGCTGAGGCAAGAGGATTGCTTGAGCCCAGGAGTCCAAGGTTTCACTGAGCTGTAACTGTGCCACTGCACTCCCACCTGGGTAACAGGGCAAGACCCTGTCAAAAAAAAAAAAAATCACAACTTCCAATAAAAATTTGGAAGTAACACAATTACATATTAACTACAGTTATATCAAAGAGATTTCTATTGTCCTAGGCCCTGCCTGCAAGGAACATCCAATTTGACATCTTTTTCTTTTTTAACTAATTACCTTGCCAAATTTAAAAACATTAAAAAAAAAAAAAAAAAAAGGTTGGGTATCCCTAATTTAAAAATTCGAAATCCAAATACTCCAAAATCCAAAACTTTTTGAGCACCAAAATGATACTCAAAGGAAATGCCAATTGGAGGGTTTTGGATTTTCAGATTAGGGATGCTCAACTGGTAAGTACATAATGCAATTACTCCAAAAACAAAAAAAAATCCAAGATACAAAACACTTCAGGTCTCAAGCATTTCAGTTAAGGGATACTCAGCCTGTATTTCCTGTCAAAAGTTCAAAGATTCTAAAAAAGAGATATTGTATATATCCCTGGAAAGAAACTGAATACAATTTCAAGGAAAAAAGCTTACCTATCACTCGGGGGTCTGTTTTCCTCTTGCAAATAGTTTTGGGTATTTCGCCTTCGTACCTTTGGAACAACATGCTTTCTCGCAAAATGCCTATCTTGTGGCTTCGAATCTTCCTGTGACACGATATCTTCTATGTCATCCAGTAGTGTATCACAGGATGCAGAAGGCATCTTCTCTATCACATAAAAAAGTTATAAATAACACAACCATATGAAAATTAACATAGCATCACCTATGAAATATTCTCACCAAACTTGAATCTAATCAAGCCTTTAAATCTAACTTGGAGTTTACACAAAATGCAGGAAGAAAAAGAAACACAAGGAAACCATCAGACAAACCCTATTGATAGTGGGATTCCAAGGTTCAATAAATTTCTTCAAAAAATTAATATCATGGAAATAAAAAAGGAGAAGAAGTGTTCAAGACTAAAGAAAACTTAAAAGCCTAACAACTAAATGCAATTTATATTCTTGATTGGATCTTTGTTCATTCCGCTGTAAGATATTTTGGGAGGGAATAACTAGGAAGATCAGAATATGAACCGGATATTAGATAATATGAGAATATTACCATAAATCATTAGATATAAAACACTGTCTTTATGTTCATAAAATTTTTTTTAAAGATGCATATTGATTTAAAAGTAAAATGTCATTATGACTATAATTTAATTTAAAATATCTCAGAAAAAATAGAGTAAGACAGACAGAAAAACATTTACAACTTTTAAATCTAGAAAATAGGTCTGCTGATATTCAATATCCTATTCTACTAGTCTGAATGTTCAAAAAGAATTTTTTTTTTTTGAGACAGAGTCTCTCTCTGCTGCCCAGGGCTGGATTGCAGCACCATCATTATAGCTCACTGCAACCTCAAACTCCTGGGCTCAAGCCATCCTCACATCTCAGCCTCCCAAGTAGCTAGGCCTACAGATGCACACCACCAAGCCCAGGCAATTTTTTTTTTCCATTTTTTGTAGAGACAGGGTCTCGATATTTTGCTCAGGCTGATCTCAAGCCCCTGGCCTCAGGCAATCCTCCCACCTTGGCCTCCCAAAGTGCTAGGATTATAGGTATCAGCCATCAAGCCCAGCTCAAAATTTTTATAATTCAAAAAAGAAAATGCAAACACAGCTTCCGGGAAGATAAAGTAGACATACTTTTCCCTATCCCTTCAGCAAAATACAACTAAACTAAACTGAACATCATTTTTAAAACAAATATGTGACCTTGAAAGGCAGAGAGAAGGAGGCAGATGGCTAGGGACCCAAGGAACATCATGGTGAGTTCCTTGGGTTTTCTTTTGCCTCCTATATCCCAGACTTGGAACTGAAAAAGTCAGCAATCCAGAAATGCCAACAGATGCAGAAAATAAAAGCCCCCAACAAAAGCCTGCTTTCGCATCAAATAACTTAAAAAAAGGGCAGTTTAGGAAGACAGAAAACTTATAAATAACAACCATTCTTCTCCAGCCAAACACACATAAGCTGTAGTCCCACTCCCCAGGCAAGCCACAATGGCCAAGTAGGGAACCTTGACTTTCACCCTGTCATGAAGCACCCAACACACCCCACCAGGGTAGAATCAGAGGCCAAGGAGGGACCCTGGACATTCAAACCAACAATCAACCAGTAACAAAGACCCACAGGGTCAGTGGAGACCAAACTTATATACAAGTTTAAAATAATTCCTATCAAAATCCCAAAAAGACTTTTTTGGGGACACAGATAAGACTATTCTAAAACTTATATGGAAAGGTAAAGGAACTAATATATCTCAAACAATTTTGAAAAGAAAAAGAGTAAAGTAAGAGGAATTGGTCTACCTGATTTTAAGGCTTATTAGATAGCTATAGTAATCAAGACTGTGGTATTGGTGGAGGGACAGAAACACAGATCAACAAAACAGAACAGAGAACACAGAAACATACCCACACAAATATGCCCAATTGATTTTTCACAAAAGTGCAAAAGCAATTCAATGGAGGAAAGATAGCCTGTTCAACAGTTAGTGCTAGAGCAATTGGATTATTTATGGATCAAAAAAACAAACCTTGACCTAAGTTTCATATTTTATACAAAAATTAATATAAAATGGATCACAGACTTAAGTGCAATACATAAAATATAACATTTTTAGAAAAAAATCACAGGAGAAAAATCTTCTGGATCTATAACTAGGTAAAGAGTTCCTAGACTTGGGGCCGGGCGCGGTGGCTCACGCCTGTAATCCTAGCACTCTGGGAGGCCGAGGCGGGCGGATCGTTTGAGCTCAGGAGTTTGAGACCAGCCTGAGCAAGAGTGAGACCTCTTCTCTACTAAAAAAAATAGAAAGAAATTATCTGGACAACTAAAAATATATAGAAAAAAAAAAAAATCAGCCCGGCACGGTGGCTCATGCCTGTAGTCTCAGCTACTCGGGAGGCTGAGGCAGGAGGATCACTTGAGCCCAGGAGTTTGAGGTTGCTGTGAGCTAGGCTGATGCCATGGCACTCACTCTAGCCAGGGCAACAGAGTGAGACTCTGTCTCAAAAAAAAGAGTTCCTAGACTTGATACCAAAGCACAATCTATAAAAACACAAATTGATAAACTGAATGTCAAAATGTCAAAACCTTTCCTTTGATAAAGACCTTTTTTTTTTTTTTTTTTTTTTTTTTTTTGAGACAGAGTCTCACTGTGTTGCCCAGGCTAGAGTGCCGTGGCATCATCCTAGCTCACAGCAACCTCAAACTCCTGGGTTCAAGCGATCCTCCTGCCTCAGCCTCCCAAGTAGCTGGGACTACAGGCATGCACCACCATGCCCGGCTAATTTTTTCCTATATATTTTTAGTTGTCCTATTAATTTCTTTCTAATTTTAGTAGAGACGGGGTCTCGCTCTTGCTCAGGCTGGTCTCGAACTCCTGAGCTCAAACAATCCGCCCACCTCGGCCTCCCAGAGTGCTAGGATTACAGGTGTGAGCGATAAAGACCCTTTGAGAGGATGAAAAGTCAAGCTACAGAGTGGAGAAAATACAAAGGACTTATCTAGAACTCAAACACAACAGTAAAAAAAGAAACTCAATCAGAAAATGGACATGAAGCATGAAAAGACATTTCAAGAGTATGTACAGAAGGCAAATAAGCACATGGAAAGAGACTTAACATTAGCCACCAGAGAAATGGAAACAGAAAGTACAATGAGATATCACTACACATCATTAGAATGGCTAAAATAAAAAACAGTGAAAACGTTAAACACCAGCAAGGATGCAAAGAAACTGGATCATTCATACAAGTCCCATGGGAACATAAAATGGTACAGCTACTCCAGAAAACAGTTTGACATTTTATTAAAATATTAATTATGCAACTATGATGCAATCTGGCAATTGTACTCCTGGGTATTTATCCAAGAGAAATAAAGACTTATATTAACACGAAAATCCATACATAAACGTTTATAGCAGCTTTCTTTATAACAGCCAAAATCTAGAAACAACCCAGACGCCCTTCAAAGGGTGAATAGCTAAACAAAGTGTGGTACATCCACACAATGGGGCATTCCTCAGCAATAAAAAGGAATGTACTATTGATACATAAATCAACCTGGGTGGATCTCCAAAGAATTACGTTTAATAAAGTGAATCCTAAAAGGTTACACACAGTGTGATTACATTTCTATAACATACTTGAGATGACAAAATTATGGAAAAGGAGAACAGGTTGCCAGGGATTATAAGGAGGATGGGGTGAGAAGAAAATGGGTATGACTATAAAAGAACAATATGAGGGATCCTTGTGGTGACAGAAATGTTCTGTATCCTGATTACATCAATGTCAATATTCTGGCTGTGACACTGTATTTCATTATATATAGTTTTGCAAGATGTTGCCATTGGTAGATCTCAGTAAAGTGTACAAGGATCTCTGCATAATTTTTACAACCGCATGTGAATTTATAATTATGTTAAAATAAAATAATTAAGGAAAAAAACTATCTAGAATAAAAAGACGAAGAAAATATACTGCTGGAGTACACTTAATGATAGTACTACTACTACTACTGTATCCAGACACAAAGCAAGTCCTTTACAGGGTCAGCTCATCGACCATTCATAAGAACCCTATGAGGTAGGTAGTATGATTGTCCTCACTTTAAAGACGAGCAGACTGAAACACAGAGTAGCAATCTTGCCCAAAGAAGCAAAACGAGGATTCCATACCAGATGAGTCCAAGCCCACACGCTGCACAGTACTCTACTGCCTACCTAACGTGTGTCTACTGAATGACCACTGTTCCTCTTGAGTCATCTGAACCAGTGTTAAGGATCTTATATTCTTTCAGTTGGCCTCAAGCCTTTCTGATGAACTTTCCTTCTCTTCATTTACTAGATTCCCATCTTTCTATTCACATCATTCCATTAACAGAGTGGTTTCTAGCCAGGCTTCTTTACTCTGTAATACATTCTTTACAACCATGACACATTGTGCACTGTGAATCAGAAAACCTGTGTTCAAATCTCAGCTGGCTTTATGTTGCAAGAACAAAAGATTAGAAATAACCCAAAAGTCAATCGATAAAGGACTGGTTAACATGCATACCGCATGGTCATGGTGGGATTATCAATCACAGACTTTCCCTTCCCTAGACACAGGAAGGGGCACATGACTCAAGCCTGCCAGAGTAACCTATCCTCTTGGCCACAATGATCCATTCAGAGTGGGTCATGACAAGCCCAGCCAATGAGAATCACTGCGAGGACTTCTATGCCAGAGCTAACAGAAGAGATGGCTTCTCTTTTCACTGAAGTGGCTAAGTTGGGAGGATGTCAAATTGGGGATTCAAGGGCCATCTTGCCTGCCACTGGGAGGAAGCCTACCTAAGGCAAGCAGCTGAGTAAAGCTAGAAAGATAAAGAGCCCTACTGACATTGTTGGAGCACCTGGATCCAACCAATGCCCGAAGACAGATGCAGCCCTGCTCTGCCCAGTCATGAGAGCCATACAGCCCCTCTGTGGCTTAAATCAGTATGAGCTGGGTTTTCTGTTCCTGCAAACGAGAGCCGTGGCCAACTCAGCAATTGAGGTAAGGCAAAATGAAGCATGGTAGTCTTTCCCAAACTGGTTCTCTTTACCTGAGATATGGACTACCTAAAAAAATGATTCTGTAGTCAAATAAATTTAGGAAATTCTG